TTATCTTAGGGGAAATTGATGATAACTCTCACAACTGTTTTGTGTAGCAGCATTAATGCTTTCCTGTCTATACCATAAATATCTTATACATTTTAAATATTTTGCCTTTTCATATCTGCATCATATTGGTGGCTCATAATGATTAATTATTATGTTCAACTCTTTTTCCTTTCTTACTGTATTACACTGATGAACTCTCATACTGTATCGGAAATTGTTGCTATTAGTCTGTCACGTTAACATTGCATGTCACAATCCAGGGGTTGTTTTGTCATCCTATTTTTTGTTGTCTGACATGCTGACCCTCCTCTATATTGGCAAGACCTGCCTGATCTATATTGCCAGCAAAGTATATATTTACAAAATCTAAATCCAGGTAGTACAATGAAAAAGATTTATGAAAATGCAAGCATAGAATCCCCTCCCCACAGAAATGTCCTAGATTATCTTCTGTATGGCAACTCATAGACTGTTAGAGATTCACACATGTAGCTGAGAATCCATTTGTCAAGTAAAAATCAATTCTTAGGTTGCATTGATAGGAAGATATTTCATGTTGGCTTTTTTACTGTCTAGCTGGCAAGGGATTTACACAAATTTGTATCTTTTTTCACCTTGCCCCCATTTCTCGTAGAATCACTGATCTTTTAGTTATTTAGGGAATAATATGACCTCCTTATTGACCATTAATTTTCCTCACTTCAGTAACCATAGTAAGATTAGATTGTCACCTTCAGGTGTGGCAACTGAAAATAAAATGTTTACATTGTCATATGCAGGACCATCACCACTGCTAGTGTAGCAGTTTGCCAAATAATATCTGTGGAGTATGTCTGCTGTAATGCCATAAATTGGAGTATTTGATTTTCAATTCAGGGTTCTTGATCATATTCAGTTCTAACCATTGTTGCTTACAGTGGATTATGAATAGTTTTGCCATATTGCCAAATAATTTTGATCAAATCATTTCTGGTTTAGGCATGCTTCTGATCCATACGTATCAAGCATGAGCCAAAAGTAAGAGGATGGTTTTTATTATGTTTCCTCAGAATTTGAAAAGAATCCACATGGATTAGGATTAGGCAACAGTGTCAGCTGAGAGAAAGCAGTAGAAAAATGGGAGAGAGAGGCATATGAGGCAATTAGTCTGCAGGCGTAAGGAGATGTTTTGCTTCATTTTGGAGCTATATGTAGAAGAAAACTCATTGTGCAGATAGAAATAATAGCTGGAAAGTAATTACTGATTATATGCCCCTAAAATTAGAACGAAAAGTTTGGTTAGAACTACATTTACTTTAATGTGCACATCATACCTGAGAATTTTTCATACCATAGTCAGTGTTTTCATACTATAGCCAGTGTTTTCAGACTTACAAGTTAGCGTTCCAACTTCATTTAAAAGAGCAATAGGACTAAAAAGAGTAATTTCGTGCTGGAAAACTTGTAGACACTAAATGGTGAATTGAGCTATGAGCTCATTAACTACGATAAGCAAAGTTACCATATTAAACACTTCATTTAATCAAGTCTTGGAAATACTAGTGAGTGTTACTTGCTCCATAGTGAAGATTAAAACTAGGATCCCACTGTGAGTTAAGATACAAATATATGAAAAGCAAGAAACAAAAAAGTCAGAAATGCACAGACTTCGTCTTGATTACGGGTGGAGAATATTGGAAGAAAAACAAAACAAAACAACAAAATGAAACCTTACAATAAGGTTGAAAAAAATACTGAAAGAAAAATCAGAAAGGAAGTTCAAGACTGAAACTATTCAAGAATGTTTATGGTTTTCTCTTTACATTAACCTAGGATACAGAGATGAAAATAGATCTTAAAAGGAACCTTATGAAAGAATCCTTATGAAATCTTAACAATCCTTACAAAAACTCATGGTTTTCCTTATCAAATCAACAAATCCAGAGTTTCTTTTACTATAGCTAATTTTAATGCTTTAGATAAAGACATTAAATGAGTACATAAGCAGTTATATGTAATGTTTCTAGGAGATCAAATCCAATTTTTGGAGGATCATATCAAAGACACAGTATTATGTAAACAGTTGGGTGAAATGAGATGGAAAATTAAGTTGCTTATGTATCTTAAACACTACCTTCTAAAACTCATTTTTGCTTTATAGATTACCAGATTACTTTAAATATGAGTATTTAAGAAAGGCCAATGACATCCTTTTATCAAACGTCTATACCTTAAGTTCTCTCAAATAGCTTGCTTTCTTCATCCGATAGGGAGATTAGCCACAAAGCTTAATTTTGCTATTTAAAATCCAGATTCTTTGCCTGGGTTTTCATTTTCTCAGCAGACGTGCCTCTCACTCTGGGTTGCTTCATAGGAACAGACTTTCTGCTGGACAAATTGACTGTGATACTGCCATTAGTTTCCTCCCATCTTGTGCATTGGTTGTATGTATTCATAAAACAACAATTATGAACTGTATGTTACTTCTTTTTCACCTAGGGAGCATAAGTAGCATGGAAATTTAATGAAACAGAACACTTCAGTGATTATAGTACAGTGGGTTTTGTTGTGTTATCATATTTTATAATAATATATCAATTTTTATACTTCACCTATTTACTGAAAATTCAGAACCTGGGTTATCACAACTTACAAACCATTAGTACAAAAGTTCGTAACAATTATTGTGAGATTTCTTAACATCCATAGTTGCAGCTTTATTGTCATATGTGGGCAAATTTTGCCAAGAATTTGAGCTTTAATCAGCATTTTTTGTGGGTTGATGTGGAAAACAAAAGAATTTTTGTGGGTGTAAACAGAAAAAATCACATTTTTCTCAGAACAGCTGTATAATAGCTGCTTTTAAAAACTAAATAGTAAACACAGAAGGAAGAGGTTTCACACCATAGAATGAGAGGCAAAATATTTCTGGCTTCTATGTTGTGGGAGTTATTATAGAGCACAAAATGCTAAGTAAAAATTGGCTGTATGGCTGGACAGCTGACACTTGAAGAAATGAGTTAGTTAGAAATCAGATTCCTTTTCAGAGCCATGCCAGTTGCCAGCCACTTACAGCTTTGGAACTAACTGAGGAGTACACACAAATGCATTACGACCTACAGCTTGTCATACTTGTATTTTGTAGAGATTTTTTTCATAATAAGGCTTTTGTGTCATGTAAAAATCACATTTGTTTTTAAACCCAGAAATCATATATACCTTAAAGTTAATATATCATTTCTATGTAAAGCAGAGCTGGTAGATGCAGGTAATATCTTTTATTGACCAGTATAATAATTGAAAAACACTGGTAAGCTTTTGGACACATATCCTTTATTTATATCTAAAAGAGAAAAAGCATATTTCAAGGGCAAAGAACAGCTGAGAATAATTTCTCAGTGACAGAGATACCATGTCTTTCAGAAGAGATAACTGCTACATACACTTAGAGGAGATGTTAGTGAAGAGATTCCACTATATGTGTGTTTTGAGCAAAATAGTTGCAAATCCTGGTTCAGGAATCTAACGTGGATGTGTATCCATCAAAGATATTTTTTCGTGGAAATAGTTTGTAGTTTTGAAAGCACTGTCAAAAAACCGTGAAAGGAATGAAGTCTTAAAAAAAGAAAAAGGACATAATCTGCTAAAGATATTTTCCTTGTGAAGCAACACCCCAAGTTTTATAAAAACCACATGCATTAGCAATTGTATCTCTCACACCTAAACCTTTCCCCACACACAAGTAGCTGTTGCAGGTTTTGGTTTTGATTTTCTGAAATGAGAAGATTCAGTAACAAAAAGTGCAGTCTAATAATCTTATAAACAACAAATTAAAAGATAAAAAGAACATCTTATTATCTTATTGACAGAGAACAGGAAAAAATTGCTGCATTTGATCCTGCTTTTTTTCAATGATTTTTTGACTGCCTAGGCACTTCTTACCTGATAGAGGTTTCTTGTTGTAATGAACTACTCAGACTTAGGCTTGTCATCAGAAGTTTGTAGTTGTATTGCTGTCTTCTGTTCTTAGTTACTTCAGGGGCAGACTACTTCTGACATCTCACAAACATTGTCTGTACAATGCTGATTGCCCTCAAGAAATACAAAATATGTCAGTTTATGAATTTAAATGTCTTCTGGTTCTCATTTTGTAAAGATCTTCATACATGGTTGCTCAGTAAGTTATTTTCAAACTTTCTAAATAATTGACCCTGGGATATTAAACTTAAACAGGGGAAGTTCAGGTTAGATATAAGGAAGAAGTTCTTTACAGTGAGGGTGGTGAGGCACTGGAATGGGTTGCCCAGAGAAGTGGTAAATGCTCAATCTTTTGCAGTGTTCAGGGCCAGGTTGGACAGAGCCTTGGGCAACATGGTCTGGGATGAGGCATCCCTGCCCATAGCAGGGGACTTGAAACTAGATGACCTTAAGATCCTGTCAAACCCTAACCATTCTATGATTCTATGACTTTATATGATTCTATATTGATCCTAAAAGCATCTGATAAAGGCATTTTTTCGTGTGATACAAAAAGCTAGTGATGAAAATTTACAGAGAAGCCATCATATGAGGTACTGTGAAAGCAGGAAATGTAGGTTTCATTTGTTCCTTCTGTATTGTTCATTACAGGGACTTTATTTCACTCACATAAATGTATAGGTATTATGTAATTGTTCTTTTTAGTCTCCCATAAGAGATTAACAGTCAATGTATGTGAGAGTATGTAAGTATGTAAATGGCACTATGTCTGCCAATAGTGGGATGCTCACAGCCTATGTAAAGGACTCACTTTCAAGTAGCTATTCCAGTTACTTTTCATTTATCATGGATGGATCAGTTTCAATATGAAAGATTGAAGCAGTCAAGTCAGTAGTTAAGGCGTACAAGACGAGGATTCAGATCTGCTCAAAGTCAAGCAGGAAGGAAAATGAATCATGGTTGAATGAAAATGAATCATGGAGAGAATGTATATCTGCTGGTTGCTAACTATGGGATTTACCAGAGAAGTGTAAACCCCAAAGCTTGTTAGCTGTGAAGGAGGAGGCTTCTACCCAATTCCAAAACATAATCTCACTGGAAAAATAGGGTGGCAGCTAAGCAATGTTTTAAAGATGGAAATGGATGCCTAAAGAGATGGATTGGTCTCAAACCATGTTCCTAACTGCCACATTTACACATCTTTCAAATACCTCCAGGGATGATGACTCAACCTTTTTCCTGGGCAGCCTGTTCCAATGCTAGGTAATGATTTTGATGAAAAATTTTTCCTAATATTCAAGCTAAACCTATCCTGGTGCAACTTGAGGCCATTTCCTCAAGTTGCTTATCCTGTCGCTTGTTACTTGGGAGACTGACATCCACTACAACCACCTTTCAGGTAGTTGTAGGGAGCAGTAAGTTCTCTCTCCTTGGCAGTGCTAGCTAACAGTTGGACTCAATGATCTTAAAGGTCATTTCCAACGTAAAATATTCTAGGATTCCATTATCTCCAAATTATTTTGAGGATCGTATTCTGTTCAGAGAAAGTGCTTTGATGTTGAGTCACTTCTTTGCTGTATTTGACAGGCTGAAAGCAAACTTCTGGTTCTCTCTGGCTATCCTGACTGTAACATCAGAGTGCTGGTGGGTGGAAGAAGAAAAGGGGAACAAAACTATCAGTGTACAAAATCCCTTTCAAAGTCTATAACTTGGGAACGTTAACACAGTTTGTATTTTAGGATTGGAGGGAGATTCCTATTAGAAATATGTACCTAATTTTTCCACCTTTTTTCACAGTAGAGACCCGTGTAATTTCTTTAGAATTCTGCTCCTGAAATTAATAGGAAATAAAATCAGGTCAATATTCTAGAAAGCTGGGAATTCTGTAAAAATATTTATATTTGTGCCATGCTGGGTATTTGTTGGTTAAAGGATTCTTTCTCGTTTGTTCTTTTGAGTGTCCAAGTGAAGATGTAAAGATCAAATTTTTCTGAAGTAAATAGAACATTATTCTTAAAATGGCTGGTTTGATTCCTACAGGTAACTTACAAAGTAAGGTTTGTAAGCAAGTATACCAGAATCTAATATTGACTTAGCAAAAATGGAAAATATATGCGAGCATATTCATTATCGTTCTTCTCTTTAGGTCTAATATTTCTGTATTTTGATATCTGGCCATAAAACATATTTGAGACTTAATAATATTCAGCAATGACATAAAATTAATTCTTAAACATACTTGTGTAGGCATGAATTATCTGTTGGCTTGATCATATTGTATCAGTATTGAGAAATAGCATTAATTTTCTTACTTACTTTGTATTTTCAGGTAGAGATAGAAACCTTGGACTATAATTCCTATCTGCCTGTGTTTTTTCATGGCCTTTGTGAAGTGACATTTCCACATGAGTTTTTTGCTCGTCAAGGAATTCATGACATGCTGGAACATGGTGGAAACAAGATTCTTCCTGTCATTCCTCAGCTCATAATCCCAATAAAAAGTAAGTGAATATGTGTTAAAAAAAAAAAACAAAAACCATAAAATAGTATTCATATAGTGTAGATTTTGATAAGTTGCTAATTAAGCAATAGAACATGACAGGCTGCACATTTCATAGAGATTATTGCAAATGTGAGTAAATTGTAAGGTATAAGGCCACAAAGCTTATGCCTGCAATCACCTGGTACATGCAGTAACCCAGAATAGACTATCTGGTTAATATTTTTCTAATTATAATGTGGCTTTTAGTCTTTGTAAATGTGAAGTGACTTTTTCCTCCCTGATTTTGTATATTATTATGTAAAACCATTACTGCATAAACCAGTTAATCTAAAATGACAGAGGAATGAACAGATGATACTTACAAAATTATGTTTCTTTCTGTCCTTTTTATTTATTCTACAGTTGTCAGATCATCATTCTTATCGCTTTGCATATACATATATCTACCTAAACTGGGAATTCTGCCTAATTAATGTATGTAAAATTTTGGCATTTAAATGTATTGATTTTTATATATTCAGATACAGTTCTTTATAGAAAAAATATGTGAAAGGTACTAAATTCTTTTAATACAAGTGTAATACCACTAAAATTCCAAGTTTAAAAAAAACCCCTAAAACTTCCTTTTTTGAAACAGCTTGTGTTTCAGACATATTGTTTTGTTCTTTCCTGTTTCTTTAGATCAGCGTCTTAAGGAGATATGATCCTGAACCATCACCCTTTAACAATTAGGAATTATGATTCTTAAGTCTGCATGCTACACCTATACTGATAGATGCGCATATTTGTTAAGCTTGGCTTCTGGTTTATCACTGCTCAATACCATTGATATCATTGCTGTCCTTCCTGTTTTCCTGAGGTGATTCAGCATCCATGCTAATACAGAATAAAATGGAGTCATTGTATTTGTGGTACGGAATGGAATCAAATACAGTTTTGGAAAAGAGGAAAGGGAATGTTGTTGAAGCCTGATAATATGGAAATAATAGTGTTGGAAGGGTCAGAATTGTGTTTTGTTCACTGAGTTTATTCCCCATTTTAAAAGATTAATTATAGAATTCATTATCTCTATCTTCTGTAGATTTTAAAAATGTCAGAAGGAATATATAATATTCAGAATGTCGCTCTGTAAGTGACATTGTGAAAGATTTATGAAAACAACGTTATAGTTTTTTTCTCTGAAAAGGAAACACAGAGAGAGAGAAATCATGTCTTTTCTTTAAATCTGTTTCTCCAGCACAATCCAAATAAACATATTTATAGTAGTATCTTTTTTTTTTTTTTTTTTTATTTGAAAGCTGGAATATTTTCTTTGGAAAAGACTTAAAGTTTATGACAGCAGCTACTCAGTTAGGATTTAAAAGTCTTGCTGAGACCAGAATCTAGCTCAGAAATAATTATTTGGAAGCTTTAGCTGTTACACAACATTTAGCATTAGAAGGAGACTGCTAGTTAAGGATATCTGTATGGGTTTGATATATAGTCTTTTAAATTAAGTCATAATTTATTATTCTGAAACACAATCAGGAATCTGCTAGCTCAATTTAGTTGTTGGTTCTGCTTTATTTTATTGTACAGTGCTTATTTTTTATTTTACAAAGCTTCTCTGTAGACTTTAATGTGTGAAGAGTCTAAGTATTATCGATGATAAAGGCTTCTTCCTAATCAAAAACATATTAATATTAAAAAAGACACTGCCATCTCAAGGAATTTGAAAGCGTGTACTTCAAAAGTTTCTTAATTTTCTATGACTGTGTAATATAGCAGAGCTGTACATTTCTGTGACTCAGCTGCATCCACAATAAACTCAGCTATGTTTTACACATATTACTGTCTCTAAAGTCTTCCATGGGTGAGTTATATCTGATTAACCTGTCTTCTTCCAGACCCATACCATACTTCTATTGTGAAAGAGTGAATCAAGTAATGGTTAGGCAAGATAATATATATGATGGAGGGGAAAGAGATAAAAGACAGAAAAATAACTACAGATAGAATGCTTTTAAAAGTATTTTTGTCTCCTGCATGTTTATCAAAGGAAAATATTAGTAAAAAGCTGCTCTCTAAAATAATTTCAAATTAAATATTAGAATTCTGTACTATATTTTGATGATTTAAGAAATTATCCTCCACCTGTCCTTGCTTAAATTTCACACTTCTTGAACACTATGTCATTAAGATGAAAAATATTTATATGCTATTATATTAGTTCTTATAATAATATTATTTAATAAATTTGTGGGTTACTGTGAGCCCAAACCAAAATATTTTCAGAATGGCATTACTTTTAAACTCAGATCATTTCGATGGTCTGGTTTATAGCTGCACTGTTGCAGATGAAGGAAGAGATGATCAAGAGGAACATCTTGATATAGATTTTCTAATGAAGAAAATAACATGAAATTAAATACTTTACTTAAGCATCCCGGATCACTCAGTTGCCAGAATCTTTTCTGTTCTGTGCTGTGATCCTAAAATGGACACATAGGCAATATGAACTTAGGCCTAGAAGCCAATAAATCTCACATCTTTACACTTAAATTGTAACTTAGATGGAATTATTGTTTCTACACTGTTGTAGTCAGCAGACCAGCACTTCTGATTGAGTCCAAAAAGATTAATTTCTATCCTAAGAAACACTGACGTTTTCCTTTTCGAGGCTTTTTCCATGCTGTTAAAAATCCCTTCTGTGACACAGTAGATCAAGGGCTTTCAATAAGGGAAACAGATTTTTTGTGAGTCAGGTACAGAGAAATACACAGAGCAGTCCTCCCTCAGTGTCACCTAGAGTCCTTTTTAATGTTTAATAAATTTCTAAATTAAACTGATCTTTGTTTTCTTATTTTCCACATTGTATTTGCATGTAAAATGTGGATTGTTGTCTTGGACAACAGTGTAGTTAATGTCAAATCAGTGTCACTGTTGCATTTAGATAAGTAAAGTTGAACCTGTTGCTGGCAGTTGTTCTATGCACATTTATATGTATATATCTCCTCATGTATCTTCACTGTATTTGAGTATTTAACAGTCATTATATTCTTCTTTGAATGCTGAAGTATTTTTCTTGAATAAATACGGTTTTCTGGGCTGTAGCCTTTTTCTTTCTGTAAATCATCTGAACTGATTTCTGTCATCTACAGAAAGTAAATTAAACCTTTAATGGAATTGTTACCTTCCTCCCCACTAACTGTTGCTCTTGAGAACCAGTTCTGGTTGTTAAGATTAACTCTATAAAATTAACTCTAAACAAACTTCTATGTGTAGACTTAAAATGCTTTTAAGTAAAGCAAAGGTTTAAAAAATAGAAAAAATTGTCTTGATTCTTAAATACCAAAGCATTTCCCCTGTAGGCTCCATCAACCAGTACAAGTGATTGCAATTAGAAAGTCTATGCTAGATTCTTCCATTCAAAACTGATCATTTCAGGTAGTTTCAGATGGTTTAGGAACTAGATTTTTTATTACTCCTGTCTGTGAGGAGAAACTGTTTCTCATTCAATAGAGATAGATCTCATCCATGTTTGGAAAGTGAAATCTGCAATTCATATCTCTTGCTTTTGCTGCTGGAGTTTGAGCTATTGTCTCCTGAATTTAATTTATTGGGTTTTAACATTTATTAGTACTGAATGTCATCTGCCATTTTATCACCCAGTTATTCTGTATGATAAAATCCTTATGCAGTTATTCGAAGTTAGCCCTTTGACATCTGGAATAAATTTGTATCATCAGAAAACTTTGTTATCATTAGTAAATATCTCTTCTAAATAATCTATAAATATACTGAAAACATGTATGTCAATACAGATTCCTGCAAGGTTCTGCCAGCCTAGGAGATACTCCTCCTCTGTGGCCATTTATCGTTGTCCTCATTTCCTATCTTTAAACAGTTATTTGTTTATGTGGAAACCATGGCAGTTAAGTGTTTCAAAAGCCTTCAGTGAGGGACCCTATCAAATACCTTTTGGAAGTCTAAGAAAACCATATTATCAGTCTTTTCTTATCTTCATTCTTCAAGGACCTAGAGTACATTTAGAACATTACTTATTTTTGCAGTACAGATGCCAATATTACCAATCTTTGGTTCTCCAGATCTTTCCTGAAATCTTCTTTAAAAAGTGAAATCAGGTTTCATTGATAACAAAGCTGTTTTAATTGAGAGGGTGGGGTGGATACTCAGTGCAGTTTAGTAGCTTGCGGCAGCAGAGGGGAAGGGATGTACATCTAGGACTGGACTGAAACTCTGTAAACTAAAGCTGAAAAGAACCAACTGACTTTCATATTCTGCTAGACCATGTTTCCTGCTAGTATCAATGATTCACTTATGGATCCTATCCTTTTCTGTGCCTTAGGCTTTGGCTTCACAGGACAAAGTCTTTGATGGCAAAATTGGCCCATGGTTTTCGTGCTTTGCCTCCTATTCCTTTTTCCCATCACCTCACTGTATAACATCATTCCTTCAGTTATACTGGAGGAAATATCTGTGCATCTGTATTGTAAATTGGATCAGGATCTTACCTGACTAAAAAAGTACAAAACACAAGGTTGTTATTCTGGTTTTCACTCACTCTTGATTGAAACACTTTGTTTTGTTAAAGCCTTCATTATTGTTCTGTAAAATTAGCATAAAGCATCTATTATGGCAGTTCAGGTAATTATTTTTTAAGTTTTGGACAAAGTTCTCTTTAAGAGAAGTATGTATTACTTTAATCAATTGCATTTTGAGAACACTTCATGTTAGCAGTTCTTTAACCTGACCCTCTGAATTTAAAAAAAAAAGCCCTTGATCCACAAGATTAAGTAGACCACAACGATTGAAGCATCTTTATCCTGATTGCTTGTTGTCCTGCAGGAGACCTGCTCGATGTATCTTGTTCTGCTTTAGGCAAAGAATTTTCTAAACCAGGTGCCTTATTTACAAACAGCAGGGGGAGGGGAGGTATGTGGGAGGGTGGTGGTAGCTGGAGGAGATATCAAAACTAACTAAGCTGGTTTTAATCCTTGGTTGTGAGATCTAAGGAAAAAATGGAAACTGCCAGTGCATTTCTAAACATAGATACACAGGTATACTTAGAAAAGGGGTTGAATATAATTGAAGGCCAGTGCAAAATAAAGACAATTAAAATATTATCATAACTTTAAATATAACTACAAAAATCTAAACTTCAATTTTTAGAGAAGATATGGAAGTTTGGGGAATCTGATTTGTTTAGGCTGTCACTGTGCTATCTGGGGAAGAACATTCTGATTCAGCCTCTTCTGTGAAAATGTCTCATGGAAATTCTGTCATGTTTCCTGGCTTATAAAATGTATCAGTCCCATGCTTCATTATATACCTGCATTGAGCAACTATCTAAGCTGGAGGGTTTCCTGGAAAAGTGGGTATCCTAATCACAGGCAAAATTGTCAAGCTTATGTACCATTAAAGGAGAAAACATCAGAACTACCACACAACAATTTATTGGGTTTGGGTTTGCTTCAAAGTTCCTTCTCAAGAGAATTGTACAATGCATCGCATGTAGACTAGATGACCAAAAGGGAAATATATACCAGTGAGGGAGGGAAGTCCTCTAAAAATCCTTTAGGGAGCTGAAATGTATCTTTAACTGAGAATCAAACTAGTCATTCACTTTGCTGTTATTGTGAAGATCCATGTCTTACAGCAAACTTCTAGGTCAGGAGGCAATAGCCTAGCATGCTTTCCAAGTGGAATACTTTGGATATTATGCATGTTTCCTTCTTCAAGGATATGTAGCTGTACTGTACTAAGAGTTTTCAATGGTCTGCTTTATTCCTGTGTAAGGATACTAGCACTTTCTTGCATTTCTATTAACCTCTGGATATCACTGACATTTTTAAAAATGCTGAAATGTACTTTTTTCATATACTGCATCAAAATATTCTTCCTTTGATGCATGTGGGAGAATGGTCTCCAGTGACGGCCGTACACAGAAAATAATTACTGGATTTTTAAGAGATAAACATATGTTTGAAATTGATGTATCCTTGGGGCAGGGACTGTCTCTAATTAAGTGTTTATAAAGTGCCTAATATAATCAAGCCAGGAGCTGTTTGACTGCTATGCATGCCACAGTCCAAATATTTAATAATAATAACAATTCTGCAGTCAATTTGACATTACTTTTGATATTTACAAGTGTTTTCCAAACACATACTGCAGTTCTCTGCAATTTGAAGGGTTTCAGGCTCAAATTCTTTAGTCTGTTTTGTTCTACCTATCCATCTGCATACATACTCATCCAGGCTAAAGTGTCTGACCTACTTTTATGCCAGTATCGGACGGCAGCAGTAAGCATATCTGTGGGAGGTGTACCCAGGAAGAGGAACTCCTCCACATAGTGACAGAGGTCTGGGAGGTAGTGGGAGAGAGTGAGAGAGGCAGGCAGGATGTATGATACAGAGGGTTCCCATCCTCTCTCCACCTGGCTGAACACAGTGACTTAAGGGATAAGGGACAATGGCAACAAGTTCCTGCTTGGAGCAGCAGGCCTGCTTCCTCTGTGAGTACCCACCTTCCCAGCTGCCTTTCATAATAGATGTGAGGATCTGCAGGAGGAACCGAACATGGAGGATGACAGTTTGTGTAGCTTGGAGGTGTTGCTGAGGTTGTTGGCCTACGTCCTCTGTCAAAGCTGCTTCTTTTTATTAAAAAAAGATAGGTCATTACCACAGAGACTCCCTTGTGCAGGGAATAGAAGGTGCCAATAGCAGACTGGACCCACTTCTTAGGGAAGTCTGCTGTTTCCCTGGGACCTGAGTTAAAGATGTGAAGAGAAAGCATCTCAACATGGTACGGCCCTCAGGTTATTATCCATTGTTGATTTTTCAGGTAGGCAGCGAAGAAGTTGCAACAAGAAGTCTGAGGACAATTGGAGAGACTTCAGGGCCTTGGGACAACTGATTAAGGGATCAGGAGCACTAGTAGTGTTCTACTCTATCTCTATTGCAGGGAAAGATGAGGGAAGAAGCAGAAAGAGCCAGCATAACAATACCTGGCTCCAAGCCTCATGTCACCAGCAGAATTTTGGGGTTTTTGATTATAGGTCAGTTTATATGACACCAGGCCTGCTGGCAACACATGGGGTACACCTGTCTCAAAGGGGGAAAAGTATCTTCGCTCAGGAGTTAGCAGGGCTCATTGAAAGAGCTTTAAACTAGATTTGAAGGGGGAAAGGAATAAAACCAGGTTCTCTAGAGATAAACCTGGGGGCAACAAACCAATGTTTTAGGGACAGTGTGCTAGCAAGATCCTTCAGTTTGCCATCAGTGGAGGTAGGAGATGGAGATTCATGTGGCAGCAAAGACGCGAGGTTTATTGTTAGAAACCATGGAAGTGCCTGAGAATGGTCATGTAAGCATTAGGGCTTCTCTCCCCACAAAGGTGGCGGGATCAGTAGCCAACTGAAGTGCATCTACATCAGTGCATGCAGCATGGGCAACAAACAGGAGGAGCTGGAAGCTGTTGTGCTGGTTAAGGATTAAGAAGCTGTGATTTCTGTCATTGGTTAATTTTTATGTCCCTTAAGTTAATTACTAGTGTTTGTATGAATAATTCATTTTATTAATTTTATTTGTGTTTATATAAATTCATTCATACAAATGAATACAAATATTCATTCATGTTTGTATGACTAACTAATAATTATTGTACTGAAAATTACAAATGTGAAGGATAATTTCCCTATTGGTTCAGTTAGCTGCTATTTCGGTGTATGACAGTTCAGTCATGAATAAACCTGTATGTAATCTCAGAGCTTCCTCTTCCAATCACTCCTTTAAGAAAATAAATAATGCCTGTTCCTCTGTAAGAGAATACTTTCCTGCCTTAGATTTGGACTGAATATTTAAAATTGTATCCAGGGTTCTCTCTTTGCTAAAGCAGCCTTAGAACATCCACCCATGAGGAAAGCTGGAGAGGGATTTTTTACAAGGGTGTGTAGTGATAGGACAAAGAGTAATGGCTTTAAATGGAAAGAGGGTAGTAGGAAGAAATTCTTTACTGTGAGGGTGGTGTGACACTGGAGCAGGTTGCCCAGAGAAGTTGGATGTGGCTTTGAGCAACCTGGTCTAGTGGAGGTGTCCCTGCCCATGGCAGGGGGGTTGGAACTAGATGTTTCAGGTCCCTTCCAACCTAGACCATTCTATGATTATATGATTCTATGTTAGCATACCAAATTTGACAACAGATTCCAGCTGCATGATATCAGAGGTCTTATAACTAGACAGTTTTTGCAAGTAAAAAGAAAGATTTCAGGCATGACTCATTTTTAATTACAAAAGAGAATGCAAGGCAGTCTTTTTAGTAAAATTAAAAGAGAAACAAAAGGTATTTATGAAATGTCTTAGTATTGTAAGATTAGAAGCATAATGCTGAAATCTAAGAGAAAAATCTAAAGTAGGCAAGACAAAATCTTTTTTTTCCCTAGGATGTTTGTCTTTTAAAAAAAGTCTGCAGGGTTTTTTGTGGAATTTTTTTTTTCCTGTAAACATTTGCTTCATTGTACGGATTCTCAGAATAGAAGGTATTGTTAGTTGAATGAATAAGATGAGCTTGAAATAAATGAGTACAAATATACAAACACTAATTGTTGCACTAGAATGTAGCTGTTGTCAACCTTTGCAGGTTGTCTTGCAGTTGTACAGTTCCATTGGCCCCAAATGGTACTTACTGCACATTTATTTTTTATTTGTTTGGACCACACCAGTATTACCCAGGCAGCATGAGGGAATAATGAGCTGCATTCTTTGGGTTACTGAAGAGTCATCACAAATTGTGGGAACAAATAACAATCAGACAAGGCAGTGTTTTATAACATCAGGACTGCAATCCATCTTTGGGATCTTTCAAAGCTGGGCTAATAAAGAGCCACTTACAATCCCCAGCAGAGTACAGTTTAATTAAATTTGTCCATTAAAGGAATTCTCCCCCTCCCTCTACATTTTAGAAATTAATTCTGCTTTCTGCCTGTTGTTTTTTCTACATCACAGACGCACTGAACCTTCGTAACCGGCAGATCATCTGCATCACACTGAAAGTCCTCCAGCACCTGGTGGCATCAGCTGACATGGCGGGGAGGGCCTTGGTGCCCTATTATCGGCAAATCCTCCCAATCCTAAGCATCTTTAAGAATATGAATGGTGAGTTATCCCAACAGACACTGTGTTTTTCAAGTCCTAAGGTAAAAAGGGGCTTGAGGCAGGGTTAATTAAGAATGTAGTTAAGATTTATTATTGTATATAGACTCGAATCCATTTGGAGCTCTAAATAATGTAACCACCACCCCCCTCATTATTCCCTAAGGATGCATTGAAATTAACAATTTCATTTATTACTCCTCGCACGTACAGTTTATTTAACACAGTACTGAAGCACCGAAGCAGTTCTATAATCTTCCAATAATTAAATTGTAAAGTTTTGTAACAGTCTTTGAATACATTAATAAACTGCAAAGGTTTTTTCCTCCCTCCAATACATTAGTTCAAACCAGCCTTTTTATTCCATTCCATGCTCCTCACAAGAAATTCACTGCCACCAGCAAGCTTAGGAAAGAATAAAAGTAAAAGTAGCAAGCAAACTAATTAATTTGAGGGTCAAGAGAACTACTTGTTGTAGAAAAAATTCAAGTTACATAATGTCTAACAACACACTGAAGTTTGAAGTTATTCATGATCACTTAGAAGGTTTTATAAAAGAGAAATTTGGAACTGATTTGTATCTACAGTTGAGTATGTTGTTTTCTTTGTAGCGCAAACCTCTATTGCCAGTTTCAGTATTTAATAACTGGTAACTGTGTGTACTGTGACTACTGCATTCTATGAGTGCATTTACACCACAATCACCAGCTGAAATCAGTGTAATGTATCTCACTTTTTCCAAACTACTCTTTAAAATATTTTTCTGTAGTAGATCTATCTGTACTTATCTGTTAAATTACCTACCAATTTAATGACTTTAAAGTTTCTATTATTGACATGCAGTTATATAGATCAAAAGAAGTTAATTCCTCACATGAAATTCATGGCATTTTAATAGTTATCTACAGGAGTACTTCTTTTATGCTTTCTGTTTGCATTGCATTACTTCAGAATACATTATTTTATACTCATTCTTTGGTGAGTATAAAGTTCACCTCAGATTGAAAAATGCCTGTCCAAAGACTGAGTTGGAGACATGAGATTTCGATTTTAGATCCCTTTTTATACATTTATGTCTGTGACTCTGTTTTGCTTAGTGAGAAACTTGCAGGAACATATGAAATTCCATAAATGTGACATGGTTCAGATGACAACTGTGGCTTTTTAGAAGTTGTGGGTTGAAAGGTTATGAAGAAACTTAGGTTGAACTTATGTAATTTCAGTAGGCCTCCTTATGAATTAGAAGATTCCCCCTTAACAGATCCAAATTCAGTATCTGACACAAAACAAGACCATAAAAAGGACTCATTGATTAATGACTACAGTACATTCTTTTTTCAAATTTCAGTCTGAAGTAGCCCATAAATTCTCTTTGACTGGGCATTTTTGTAGTCATTTCAGATGAACAATAGGGAAAGCTCATGTGTAACCAGGTACATAGCTTTACAAGGCATTAAACACATTCTAAATATATCCCAAGTTTTGATTGTATTGTTAGCAAAATAAAACCTATTTTTAACATATTTGCATGACATCTTTGCTATGTGAATTTGTGCTTATATCAAACTACACTAAATCTTGATATATGGCATTTAGGAACTAAAAAACGCAAACCAAATGAAAAGTAGTAGTTCAAAATGAATGCATTTTATTAAAGCATTACTTTATTAAGCATAAAGGTTTTGAAAGTTCCGTACTATCAGCAATGAAATGGATATTATTTGTGAGGCCTACCATATGAAACTGTTCAGTTAGTCAGTAGTTGCATGTGGGTGATAGGGCACGAATCTTGCTCTTTCTCCC